AGGTGCTTTTATTCTTGTAATATCCTGAAATTTATTCCTGAAATTATTATCCTGAAGCCTTTATCTCATGATGTTTTCTTTTTACTTGTTACTGGATCTCTGTCACATTCTCATTGATGGTTTCATATATGACTTGAAGTTCTCCAGCACTCAGATTCTTTCCTCAAGTTTTATTTAACCTTATTTCATGTTTAAAAAAAGATTTCCAATTTTATTTTCAGTTGATTTGTATTTTAGCTATAACATTTGGTAACCACATCAAGGCCAAAACAAATAACCACAAAAAAATTTGACGTACAAGATAAAATGGTTAGAGAGTAGATGTTAGCATCAGATGGGGTGAAGAGGGAACAAGAGACATTGTTGCTTGTAATCTGATAAGTAGTCAATTCATCTAAATATTTTTGTTTAGGTAACCTGCTTCTCAGTTTACCTTGTAACTTGAGAAGCTTGTAAATGAAGATTCAAGTAGCTAGGACTTCCACATTTTCATTAATGCTACTATGAGAATTCTCTGAGATGATGTTTGTAAAGTAATTAACACAGTGCCTGATACATCGTTAACCTTACCAAATGTAGTTTATAGTATTGATAAATATTTGAACATTGTCTGTTAATAGGTTGTGTAAGAGGCATACACACCAATGATTCTTAGCTTATTCAAAGGTAAAATTAGTCATAGGTTTTATATTGAATCAGTCTTAGAATATTTCATTTAGATGCAAAAACATGAGAAACACAGAACTTCCAAGAACTGTTTTTTTTCTGTATTAGTTGTTATATTTTTAAATTTAATATATTCTTTTCACCTGTTGAAAATGGTCTAATATTTTTCTTTGGAGTGAACTAGTGTTCCAAGATACTGGAATATTATGTATTTGTCATAAAATATCTAAAATATTGAATCTTTTGTATGTTGATCTTTTCAAAAGATTTTTTTTTCCCCTTTTGGGCACAGACTTAAAAATTGTGGCTGTGTGCTTAGGCCCCCAGTTCATTCTTTGGTACAGCCAGCAAGACTGGAAATGTACTGACTTTTACTTTCCCAAGAAATATTTTCAAAAAATGCAATACAATTAAAATAGTACTTGAGTCTCAATTTTTGAAATTGCCGGTGGGGAGCTCAAGCATTAGGAAATGAAGTGCAGAGTGTGACGCTGGACTTGTGTAGTGAGAAGCTACAGCATGTGGAGAACTTAGGCAGCTGTGACTTGCTTAGCAAATACACATTTTTTATCATTAAACTTGATGTAAAAGGAAGCATGGCCTCGTTTAGCCATGCAGCTCTGCACATGGGCACAGAACTTATTGTTCTTTGCTGTAAAAGAGGAATTCATTTCAGAAAAATGAGAATACAGTTTTTAAATATCTATTTCAGTTTGAAGTTTTATTTGAATATACAATGTATTTGCTCCAAAATGTTTTCTCTTAAGTAGGGAAATCCTGATAGGAGTTTTAGAAGGGTTGAGAGGTTGAGAACCCTGGGTATTTTGTTTTAGTTATTTTTTCAAGCAGGGTAAAAAGGAGTTTCTCTGAAAAACAAAATAACTGCTGCTCAAAATGGTTCTTAAACTTCTTTACTGAAAACTGGCAAAAGGTAGAGTAGGTGGGAATAACAAAATATGAGTTGTTAACTATAAGGTGACATATAAATAAGTTGTTTAATCGTTGACTTTTTGCCTTTTGCTTGACATGATGATAATCCAGATTTGAGGCAGGCATTAGGTGGAGTTGGCCTCGTAATGACTGAAACGTCTGGAGAACCTGGGTCCTTTGCAAAGCTGTGTGACTTTGGGTTCTGCACTGCATCCGCCCCCCCAGGCCTTCTCACCGGGTAGATAGAGAACCCCATGGGCTCTCGTGAGCACCACGGGTTGTGCATTGGTCTGCTAAGCCTGGAGGAAAACTACTGGGAAAAGTGGCCAAACAAGTAGGGGGAAAGGCTTGCTTTACAGGAGCAGATCTTCAAAATGTTTTCATGTACCCTTAAGCATAAAATGCCAGCATGTATCCCTTAATTTGTGTATTTATTAATAAAACATACTGCTGTAACAGTGTATATTCCAAAGCAAGATCTAAAAAGCTCTAAGGACTAAACATGGTAGTGAAAAAAATTTTTATTAATAACCATTTTTGTTCTCACTGAAAACACTGACGTAATGCAGATCAGTGAGAGCAATATGATGAATATGTGTCATTATTTTGAAAACCTTCATTTAATAATTTTAATGCTGCATTAACATTTCAGCTTGAATGTCTGCTTCAAATTACTGTTGGCTTTGAAATTGGTTTTGAAGTGTCATAGCTGAGAAAGATACTATACTATGATAAATAGATTCTAATTGAAGAAGTGAGTGCTGGCTGTCTTTATAAATAAGGGGATTTATGTTTTAATCCCTTCCAACAATTAAACAAGAGTTTGTTTAAATTTGGCTCGTAAATTCCCATCTTCTCTGATGTCAGTCACTCCTCCTGCAAATTAATCAGAGGTTGTTGCATTTTAAAAATATAAAACCCATGAAACATGTGGAAAGGTTTAAAGAATAGATTAGAAAGCTTTTTTCAAAAATGTAAAGCAGGCAGACATGTGAGGGCTTTTGTAGGTGGCAAACTTTAAGTAATTTTTGCAACAAAATCCCAAAATGGAAATGTACACTTTTTCAGAATGTTTTTAGAATGGCATGTACTATCCATAATCTGAGTTACTTTTGAAATGTATTTTCTTTTTCACTTATTAAAATATCACCCCTTCCTTGAAGGTATAGGATATTTATTTGAAAAATATCTTTTAAAAATCTGCTATAAACAGCCATCTACACTTCTATTTTTGCTTGAAAACTAGGTAATACATGTTTGGCAACTTTTGAAAGTACTTTGCTGTGGTATAACCAACACACCTTAATGTGGTAAAGATTTTTATGGTCATTTTCTGTCTTGTTACAGAAATTGTAAAGATGTGACCACGTTTGAAGGTCTTATTTCTATAAAAGTAACCACATGGACATCCTGTGGAACTGTGTGCTTTCGGCTTCAAGTTCTTTGTTGAAGTAGCTCCTGCACGAGTGACTCAGTGAATGAATTTCGTGTAAGGTGCTTTTTGACCTTCTTATCCGAGAGGTGCCCTATCGGTGGCTGTACTTGAACAGTTTTCCCGTAGAACATCATTTATTAAAGAAGTGATTCACTCTTCAGACTGTCTTCATATTCTCACCCAAAGTGGTTTCTTTTTAGTGTATTTTATCAGACAAAATTTGATACTAGAAGCTGAGTTCTGGAAAACATCTAAGTGTGTGGCAAGCCTCCCACACAGCTTAATATGTGTTAATGTGCTTCCTGAAATATTCAGTTTTGAAAGTTTTGCTCATAAAGGAATGCATTTTAGTTTTTTTTTTAACTTTCTGTATTTCAGTCTTTTTTCTTAGCACCACGTTGACTGTGGAATGCATTTGTTTCTTTTGCTATTAAGCAGAAATCTTAAAAGGATCTTCTAATTTTATTTAGTGAAATTTTATAAAGGGTTGGAAATATGTATGCATGACTGTAAACATAGGTGAAAAGATGGCTAATATCTGGAGATGTGGCAAACAATATCGGGGTTGTGGTACCCATGCTGGTGGGTATCCGTTCACATTCTTAGTGCCTTCTTGATAATTTTGAGTCTTGGTGGATCTGCTTGTCAGTGCTCTTGGGCTGGTCATTACTTTTGTTTCATAGGGTAGCTGGTGGGCAGTTCACACCGGGATTGGGAATCTGTTTTATCCTTCTTGTGGTTAGTATTATTTTTAATTTGAACGTTTCTTCTGGATTCCTTAAGCCATTCATCCAATTTGTGAGATCAGTTTCATTAAAAATTGATAACAGTAAGCCCTTTTAAGGGGGTCCATGTGAACTGTCACAGGGCACAAAATGCTAAAAACTGGGAGGGCTGAGCGAAGGCCCCATTGTCAACCCCTTGGCCTTGTGAGACCCTCAGTCTTGTCTCCGGATAACTCATGGAATGTAACTTGTGACCTCAGAGGGTGCTAGTGCCAGCGTATATATGAATGATTTGTAAAACTTGAGCTAAGTGATTTCATCAAAACCATATTTTCCTCCTGGCCACACGTGTCGCCTGCAGGATACTGTACTAAACGTCACAGTTTGGGTGGCTGTGTGTCTGCCTTCTGACGAGACATCCCCAAGGTAGTGCAGCCGGGCTGTGGCCTGGGAGCCAGAGCCGGGCTTGGCCTGGTGGGCAGAACCCTGTCCCAGAGCATGCAGGTGGGCTGGGGAGGCAGAAGGTGACAAGGGCTGGGAGTCCCCGTCTGCCACATACATAGTTCTCATACAGCCCACTCTTCCTTCTCTCCCAATCTTTAGGTCTCTTTGGTTCAGCTGTGAGCTCTTTGAGGGCTAGACCACTTCCTGGTCATCTTTGTGTAATGCCTCGCCCGCTGTAGGTGTTCAGAGAACCTGTTTGAAATGATGCTCCTTTTTTCTAAGCTGCTAGCTGGTTTCTGGGTGCATGTTTTAAAAGGGCAGGTGGGATGTGTGCATCTGGTGGAGAGGCTCGTTAGTGGGACAGCAGGCTGCATCCCTGCAGACTAAGAGGTCCTAGAACTCTGTTGTCATCGTGAGCTCCTGCCTAGTCTAGCAAGAGTGGATTCTGACCTCAGAGTAGCCTAAGGTCCAAGTGATTAACGATGGCAGAACTTGGAACATGCTTATGTTGGCCTTTCTTGGCTTTCTGAAATATGATTTCTATTTGAAAGCAGTCAGTCGGATAATGTTGGGGGAATTAACCTTATGTGTGGGTATTAACGTGAAAGAAGAAAGTGGGGGGAGGATATTTTATTCAAAGAGCATTTCATTCCTTTGTTCTTAATTTTGTCTCTGCGATTTTCCCATCTGTCAGGCTCCTCTTCCCTCTGTGATGTTAACTGAAGGGCAGGACACAGCCCTGCTGGTTGATCACACTGGGGCTCCTGCAGTAACTCTCTCCTTTATTATTTTCATTGCAGGTGCAGAAGCCATGGAGTTGAACTGCAGCGAAGTACCTCTTTATGTAAGTAGCACTGGGCTTCAGGTCCAAGCGGCCCTTTCTTAGACTCGAAGCCCATGTGACTGAAGTGGGGAGAAACGTTTTGCTCCCTTTTGAGTTGGAGCTTTTAAAAAATACAACAGACAGCCTAACAGTCTAGTTCAAGTCTTTGCATGGAGCCTTTTAAAACTGGTTGGCTTCTGATTCCAAAGTCTGGGTTTTAATTATGTTTTCCTGAGCAACTTTTAACTGTATAACTTCTGGCCTCAGAAATATGCAGTTCATTTGTGTGGATAATTTTTGACATATCATTTTATGATATCCTGCATGTTTTCTGTGTGTGTCATTTTGCGGGGAAGGTTCAGTGATAGTTGTGTCAGGTAAAATCATGAAATAGGAATTCAAAGGCAGAAGTGCTGGAATATACCTAGAACAGTTGAGAGGCTGGGTGGCAGAGCTGCCCAGGGAGAGTCCTAGTCAGACATGCCTTCTGGGCTGAGGGAGGATTCGGTTTCTGAGAACAGTTACTGGGTGTAACAGAAGTGAACGGATTGTCTCTCCACATATAAAGTGGCAGGTGACTTTCACTTCCCTCCTTATTTTAGGCAAAATTTCTTTCCTTGGAATCTGACTTTGTAGGTGAGGGGCGGGCATGTGTGTGTGGGGAAATTGAGGTTTCAAGTGGCCTTTGAATCATCAAGTCATGAAATCCAGCAAGAGTACTAGATCTAGAATAAGGATGTGACAGTGTGACCTCAATTCAGATGTATCCCTAACAGAACAAAATATCAAGGAAGTGGAACAAATTTAATCAGAATCCTCAATCAGTTAAAGTATATTCATTTGTTTCCCTTATAACTGTGCTGCCCAGGTGGCCCTCCTTCTCTCCCCTCCTCCCCCTTCTTCCCTGTTACCCTCCTGCCCCTTACACATACCCCCATAGCCCACTCTATTCCTTGGAGGCAGACAAAATGATAAAATAAATGGATTTCAGGATAATGACAGAGCTTCATCCTGGGTTACCCAGTGGTCTAAAGTATTCTCTCTAGGTTGTGATTTGCAGGTCATAAAATGTGTATAGCCAACTGTCTGGCCCAGCCATAATTAAATTTTTTTTTAAAGGATGGTCCAAAGCTAAATTTAAAGTATTTTCAAGTCTATCTTTTGTTTTTTAGGGGTATCTTTCTCCTCCTTAGCTTTATTCCTCCACCCTGCTCCCCTACCTTAAACCAGACAAATCTGCAAATCTAATCATGATATAAAACCTTGTAGTTGATCGATATCCTGGTACTGTTGTTTTGAACTCAGACCTACCAGGTGATGACCAGACTAGGGAAGAGTCAATAGACATTGTCTGAAGGAGAGAAGAGACTTAAATAGACCAAAGAAAAGCAAAACAACCAAAAAAAAAAAACCAAACTCTAATTATCTAATAATATATGCTATTTAGAATAAACAAAAATACAGAAAAGTGTTAAGAAAATAAGTCACTCATAATCTCATCCTCTGTAGATAATGTTAAAACATTAATATATTTGATCAATTTGAAGGTACAATCTTATCAGTTTACATCTCTGAAATTGAGATGCTCTTACTTCACTGTGCATCCTGGCAGATGTCATGATGTAGCTGTCATTACCTCTGCATGTGAGACCTTGGTCACAATGGTTCATATTGTTGCCTCTTGCGATTCCTTACTGCTCTTGCTGGTACTATATGAATTAATTGCTTTCAAAATGATTTCACTGTGATTTGGCACTAAAAGGCAAAGTTACTCTGTATATAGAAAGACATGGAAAGAGCAGCATGATACATGGTAAAGTATATAAATAAATTTAGAAGAGCTCTTTTAATAAGTATAAAATCTCACTATGTCATGCTTGGCAGTTTTTTCTCTTAGTGGAATATAAAATGCACATTTTAACTTGTATTCTTCTCAGATAAGAGGAAATACGTATTTAACATAACTGATTTTTATTTTATATAAGTATATATAAAATATATATGTATATATACATATACATACATACATACATATATATATAT